AAAAAAAAAAAAAGGATGCAGGAAATATGGAGCGTGGAAGAAGGGAATACATCCGCGCAGGAAAAACTTAGAAAAAAAAAAAAAAAGGCAAAATAAAGGAAAAATAACAAGGTGATTGCGGGAAAGGGATACCCAAGCGCGAATGCGGCCGGAAATTGTCGCCACAGGAAGGAAGTGGTAAGGGGGCTTTCTCTTTACTCCTCTATGCAGAGCGCGGGGGTGGGAGGCATGAACGTACAAAATTCCGGTCGCGCGAAAAGGTAAAGAGATAGTGATTGATGAATGGGCAATGCCCAGTCAATGCAGGTGCGTATCCCCGTGTGCTGCTATACACTCACGCGACCCACGCTCAAGTGTACGTTCGCTTGTTCTTTCCATTCGCGTGTATGTTGCATTTGCGCGTATGTTGCATGTACGTGTATGTTAAGCGCACGCACCCCCACGTGCGTATAGTGCACAACGTGTACACGAGCTGTCTCCTCCTGATGTTCCTACAAAAAGTGCACCTTCATTTGTACCCCCCAAAACAAGAAAAGAGTATAATGCCTTCATGCACATCACCATAACGCTAACCAAAATGTATAGCGTTCAAGTTGGTTGAAAGCCCCCCCCCCGCAGAAGGGTCAAATTCACAATTTTGCAATTTCGCGGAAAAGAAAAAAAAAAAAAAAAAAACTGCATTTGCTGTGCCCATTTGGTCCAAGTAATATATAAACAAACACTGGCCAGTTGTGTGAAGGAGGGTTAGCTTCTCCGCCTCACCAAAGGGATGGACATTTTGCCCCTTTGAGCAAATGTTACATTATAACTCCCCCATAAAGTATGTGGTGTTTTTTTTTTTTTTTTTTTTTTTTTCCCATCTTTTGGCTAGCTAGCCAATTTGGATTTCCCTCCCCCGCTGCGCACAACGCTACACGTTGGTGATCTTTTTCGACTTGAGCGAATTCTCCGTGGCGACGAGGACTCCCTGCACATCGCTAAAGTTGAAGTATGATATATCAGATATGTCCTCCGCGGCCTTTTTAATGACATAGGAAATGCGTCCATTCAAGACCTCCTTAAAATTCCAAACGACGTAAAACTTGGCAGACAAGGTAAACAACAGTGTATTGTCACTACTGATGGTGCTCTTCTCAAATTTGTAGTCCCCAAGATTGTATGTAAAAACATCAACGTAATGAATTTGTAGAAGGAACTTCTTCTGTTCAAGTCGTTCTTCCCTTTTTATAACTCGTTCAAAAAGGCTACAACTTCGAATGCAGTTCTCTGATATAAGTACACTCTTTTGGCAAGTCACAATGGAATAAATTCCATCAGCCGTTGTACACAAGTGTACAATGTCATTTGCACACAACAATACATTTTTACTCTTCTTAAGGACATTATTTTTATTTATTTTTCCATCGTAATATTTAATTTCGCCCTTACTATTGGTTAAGATAATTCTTCCCCTGTTGTCCACAGTGGCATGCTCAATATCTGGTGTGTTTCTCCCATACAGCAAGGCATTTTGCACACACGATTTAATTCTCGTATCAACAAAGTACACACTTTTTTTATTGTACCCGCAGTAGACATTTTCTTCCTTCCTGATCAGCTCACTTATTGGCACATATTCTGTGTCCCACTTTTTTATAATTTTCTCTTTATGTGTATCAAAAATGAATAAGTGCTTGTCATTTTTTTCGTTAAGGAAAAGTATTTTGTTCCCTTGTTCATCATTTACGTGGATGCTTTTTGGAATACACTGTTCATTCTTAAATTTAAAAATTTCTTCACCTGAGTTGTAAATTTTTTTTTCTTTTCCATACTCGTCAAATGTGTATATGTTTAAATCGTTGCGTACGTCATCGTAGTTCATTTCTCTCCCTGAGGATTCATTTTTCCTGTTGAGCTTCACCTTTCTTCGCTTCCTTTTCTCTGGGATATGATTCTGCCTCAACACGAAGGAGAGCTTCCCGGTGGTATTCACAAATTTGTATTTCATACCATCTGTGTGGCTGGTCCTGTGTCCGGCGTACCCTCCGTCCTCCGCGCTCTCCAACTCGGTCACGTCAGACAAGTCAGACGCGACTGAACTGTCCGACTCGGAGAGAAGGACGAACCCACCCTTCTGGGGGGACCCCCCCGTGTGCATCTCTGCCTCAGTTGGGGTTGCCACCGGTTCGCCTGTCGCTTCCTTTGTCGCTTGCGTCTCCATGAAGTCCCTCTTGATGTTGATGATATCATTTTGGAAGTCCTGCCTGTAGATGAGCACCCCCCTGATGTGGTCAATCAGGATATCCTCCGACTCCAGAATGAGGAGAAATTTTTCGCTCATCCGGTGCAGCTGCGTGGCAAGTTCGTTCTCAAATCCCTCGTGCGTCTGTCCATCCGCGTCTCTCTGCCCCTCTGTGTGTGTCTGCCCTTCCAAGTGCTTCTTCCCCCTCGCGCGCTTCCCCATTTTGTCACTCCTATGTTGTCCCCCCTTGTCCAATAACCCTAATTCATCGTCCGCAATTGGGGTTGCCTTCATGCCCCGGTAGGCGTCCTCCTCGTCCGCGGTTTGAAGATTCCCTGGGGAACAGTCTGCTAGTACCACCACGTTTGCTTCTTCCCTCTTGAGTGATCCTTCCCCCGTGAGTGCTTGTCCGGACGCCTCCTCAGCGAAGTACTCCGCGTAGCGGTCTCCGCCCTCATACAGAGCCTTGTACTCGAAGAACCTGAACAGGCTGTTGACCAAGTACCTGTGCACGTGGATCCCGATGGACTCCCTGCTCAGATAAATGTCATTGAAGGAATTCAAAACATAAATGAGAACAACTCGATTCCTTTTATACAGCTCCCTCACATTGTCCATGGTGAGTTCTTCATACAGGTGTGCGCACGCCACGTCCTGCCTGCTACGCTCCTCTTGGGCAAGTGGGGACTTCTCCGGGGCAAGAATAACCAACAGGTGTTCATACTTGGCTGTGTTAAATGCTAACAGGCCCAGATGGTCCTTCTTATAGAGTACCTTCACCGGCTCCTCATATTTAAACAGATTGACCCTTCTACACAAAACAATATTCCCCTTCAAATAGGATAGCATAATGTACTTAAAAAAGTAATACATGTTTTCGACCTTTGAAAATACCAATCCGTACTCTTCCACTACTCCATTTTTCATGTATTTAAATTGGCACATGTCTAGCTCATGGTACTTGAAATCGTGTATGGAGTCTTCATTAAGGGTAAGTTTTTTCGAGCTGTTCCATATGACCACCTGGTCATCACTCCCCTTCCCCCTGTTGTTAATGTACAATTTGCAGTCAAGCATATGTGGGGTACACTGCTCGTCCTTTATCAAGTACACGTCCACCTCCAGCTCCGTTTTCTTCTTAAACAGCTTGTTGAACAACATGGTGGTGAGGTGGTGTGGGATGGACTTTATTGGAGTGGATTGTGCTGAATTGAATTGGACTGAACTGGGACGGAGGGAACAACAACCTGGTGCGACTCCCTTGTGCTGTCGTGCTTATATAATGCGACTACGCATGTATGTTTGTATGTATATGCTTATTTGTTTTCCCTTTCGTTTCCGTTTTATTTTGTTTTATTTGTTTTTATTTTTTTTTTTTTTTCTGTTGTGAGCGCTTGACTAGCCATTAAAAAAAAAAAAAAAAAAAAAAATCAAAATCACACATTCAGATAAATTCTGCTCGGGGGAGTGGCGTCCCGCGTGGACACAGGAGAAACATCACCACGTATAGACACCCATGGGGGGGGAAGGAGCACAAGCAACTGCGTACAGGTTTATGCGGTTTGAGACAGGTCCAAATATGACAGGTGAACGGAAAAAAAAAAAAATTAGGGACAGCGCCAGCAACAATAAGGTCAAACTGGGCAACTGCGCAGAAAACATTTGCACAATCGCAACCTCGCGCGCTGCTACGTTGGACGAGGGATGAGACCAAATGGGGCCCAGCCAAGCCGAACAAACGAAACAGAACAAACCAAGCCGAACTGGCCAAGCCGAAGGAAAATAAAACAACTGCCACTTGGATCACATGACAACCAAGGAAATGGAAGCAAAGAGGCTTTCATGCTCAAAATGATTTTTTTTTACAAGCCGTCGCAGTTGTGTGCATCCTACTATGCCAACTTCCGCTCTGTGATGGTCGTCCCATCAGATGCGCCTCTGCTGTCTTCAAATCTGTGTGTGGGGGGAATGAACTCCCCCCCTGTGTTTCTGTCCTACGCCAACACATTTCCGCGGACGCTTCCCTCTATACTTTGGACCCAGTGCGGGAAAAAAAAAAAAAAAAAAAAAAGCAGATCGATCTTTAAGTGAACCCTTCGACATCGTGTGGATGTGTATATTCGCAAGCGGGTATAATTTTTTTTTTTTTTTTT